AATAGAAATGTCTGCATAATTTGTATTATTACTAATCAATAGCGATATCACTATATCTTAACACCCTCAGAGACTATGGCACATACCCTAGGTCAAGGAACTCAGATATAAACCCTCATGGCTAGATTATTTGATGTGATTGGTCGATCTGCGAGTCAGCTAATCAGATTCGCGTATTTGGGCGATATATTTGCATATTGACCTCACGGCGGTAAAAAAACAATCTTCTTCCCATAGGTTTCATTTTACAGTGGTTGTTACACCTGAAAACATACTAAAAAATGGAAAAACTTACGTGTCAACCGAACTGTTTATTAATGTTGGACGAACAATTTTATGGCGTACTATGTTTTGCAAGATACTAGTAATGTTATTGTAGTAAAATAATGCACTAAATCGGGGCACTCCATCGATTCCCTAAGCCAGCTAGATATACATCTTACACAAGATCAACCGCCTGTGTCCTAGTTATCATCTCACTGTACAAAATATGTGTTGCATTATGGGTAGTATTTAACATCAAACACATAACAACTGTTGCCTCGAAAAACATTTCTGTCATCCAGTGGTCATATATTGGTGATATTACCTTCTCATATAATTCCCAAGCATACGCACGACACGGCAACAGAATACATATTGCTTATAATAACCATCTCTAGACATATCCGTCGCACATCGCCCCTGTAAACTACACAACATTTACATCATATTTTGCCACTAAAATGTCAGCATACTTACGCATATAGTTGAGTATATAATAGTTCACAACAAAGTTCACCCCTCGACCTGTCAGTCAAAAAACACGTACCATCACCACTTTTGTGGACATTCGTGAATTTTACTTTAAAATAATATTCCTAGAATTCAATAATAATTATAATAAAAGAACATCAATTTGGAATAAATGTCATGGTTGTAAAATAGTTGCTAAGAGTAACTAAGTGGGGGTGTGTGTGTTAATTTGCTAATTTGGAAAACGCACGACTGGTTTAATACATAACGTTATTATTATAACTACAACTTTTCACTTGTCTTCCAGTTTACCACCCCCCAAAAAAACATTATAAGCTGAATTTATCTAGTATGTATGACAATTATATGTCTGATGATCAGTGGGTTAGAGGGCAATCGTAGAGGGCGTTATTATTATAATATTGCCTGTGGTTATGCAAGGTTTTAATACTAATATGACTTGCTAATATATCTTTAATACACAAATGATTGATGTGATTATAGTATGAAATAATGACTACCATGATAATTATTCTTTGTGAATATTTACACAAAGTATAAGCTCAAATTGACCATTTCACGAGGTACTATATTGAATATAAAAATACTACAATCGATTTCAATTGAACTGTGACACAGATAAGTACTGCTGTTTGTCATGGTTTCATTAGCTGATTGATTTAAACAAGATGAGCATAGCGAGATGAGCGGGCCAGTCTTAGCAGCGAGTAAATTTGTATTTTATCAAGCTTTTATTGTATTTGTTATGTTCCTGTTTCCCACTTATACTGACCAGTATGTTTGTTGTGAGCCTTAAATCACCAACCTGTATCACTCTCTGGGTATGTTTTTTTTACTCTGCCCTCTAAGTTTTTGTTCAATAACTTATATCGAATAGACTAGTAAAATATGCAAATTCCCCGGGATAATTTATAATTGTACATAGAATGTAATAATGACTATACTCCAACCTGTTTCCATCACTTCGATCTCCATAGATTACATAGAGGCAAGTGAGGTGCTAGCACCCTAGCCTATCGGATTGTGGTACCCGATAACTGATAGCTTTGAAGTGAAAGGTCAGAGGGATATAACTGGACCAAAGTGAATATTTCGTGTAACGTCTGTATAACTCTTCTGTCCAGGCAGCAAATGGAGAACATTTGAAATGTGGCTACAAGGCACAACCTTCGTGTTCTAGTAGGAAATGCTGTTGACTGAATGTGATACTTCTATGTGCCGCATGTAAGTAACTTAATGGAACTTGGGACAAACACGAATAAAATGGTGATAAATCAGCATCTGAAACAATTGCATGGTTGATTGCGCGTATGTATATTACAGAACAAATAGAAAATATAAAAAATAGTAACTATAGATTACCTATAAATACATTGAACAAATAATATTTTCTACAAAGTCATAAAGAAGTGTTGTTTTCCCAAAAATGTTGAACCAATTTCTGTGTTTTATACCTAAATTCAATTTTCAGTCATTGTGCCATATTGTTTTGTATGTTTCAAGGAAGGTATATGAGGAAAAATTAAAAACGTTTCTATCAAATGCAAGAATTGCCATTTTTTCACTAATTGTGTCTTTTTACGTCCTACATATAAATATAAAATACATATAAAAGATGTTTGTATTGTAAAAATCTAGACATTCACATATAATATTGATATGCGACGCACGCGAATTGCGAGATGGTCACATAATCGTATGAAAAACGTACATTTCTAGAAAAGTGAGTCTGTGAAATTATTTTCCTAACGTTCATTTCAGGCTGTTTTGCTAGTGTCAGTGTATTCACATAGAGTGTTTTAGCCCGTTCACTTCTGATCGCACATTCACATTTTTCTAGCGTCCACTACGTTCTGTTCTGGCCATAGATGAGAAATGTGTTCGATTGACGGCCACGTGATAAGGATTTATCACTTCATATCACATCGTCCGAATCGCGCGGTTTTACGAGCTCTATGTAAACATAGGTTATGGCCGAATAAATGAACCGTGGCTGACAAAGATATGCCTATCACTGTATATATAAGTTGTAGCTCTTTATTTTATATATACTTGGTAATATTCAATACAAATATAGTATTATTTCAATAGTTTTGAAAACAGTGTGTTTTAAACTATCGAATTAAGTGGCCTGGTCAGGGAGTAGAGAGAAGAATAAGACGATGTGTCTAGCTTGAACACAGAACAGCAATTGCTTTAATCATAAAAACTAAGTAACCAAATATTGTTACATTCAATATTTGTACAAATAGAAGGCTTGCAGGATGTTACGTAACTATCACTATACTGAAGTCGTTAAAACTACACATGGCCAGGCAACCTTATCTAAAGTGACAAGAATACCACACTTTTTCCGATAACACTGTTATGTTTATTTTATTTTAAATTAAATATTGCCTAACCTATTAACCAACCTTCATAAACCAATATACAAATCCCAGATCACCATTTTTTTATGTTTTATATTCATACCAGGTATTATTGTGTGACTAAAAGTTAACTAAACAATGCCATGTCTACAGTTTTATTCTGTCTTTACATTTTAGCTAGGCTATAAGAAACGAAAAAAAGGAAAAAACAAATACCGTAGTCATACTACTAATGAGAACATTAGAGATATTGTGTGTATTCGCGATGAGTAGTGCAATGTCACGTGCCAATATGATAGACCCTTCCATCTGACTCATTAAACCTTCAACTGCACCTATATTGTACAAGGATGGCGCAAGAAGGATCTCTTGGTACTGATCGGGGTTTTGTGGTTTCAAAACAGCGTGGCTATACTCCCAGTGGTGTACAAACTTCAACTTTGGATTGATCAACAGCAAATCCAGTTGTTCTGTGACGTCATAGCCCGTGGCCAGTGAATAATATTTGCTGCCATTAATGATTGCAGACAGGTAGCAATACAAGAATTCACCGACTTCAGGAAACGAAGGAGAACCAGTGACAAAGTTTGGTTCGTCCCATTCGGCGCTGACATTGAAAAAGTTAGGATTCATCCCATCCGCAATAATAATATACGAATAAGATTCGTGCCATTGCCTGGCAGGGGGGTCGATTGGCAACTCAAAATTTTCAAAATGAATACCTATTAAACAAAAATAAATAATACATATTTAATATCTATGTTAAACAGAATATTTATAAAAGGGTCCCTTATAGAATACACAGTATAAAGAACAACGAACAATGCAATATGTTTTTTTCTAACGTCATATGTTTTTACAGTAAGACAGTTCAGTGCTATACAAATAAATTAAATTAGTCACATTACCTGTCTTTTCTAATGGGGCTGCAATAACCACATAATCAGAGTGAATTGTGTGCTGGATACCATTTACATTATAACTTATCTCAAGTTTTCTGTCTATTTGTTTTATGTTGTGAACAGTCGCATTTAGTTGAAGATCAGCTGTTGACACTCCAATAACGAGTGTACAAGCTGCGAGTTTCCCCCGTGAACACGTCCTGCAAATTAAGAGTATGGTATAAGTTATAACCTCAATGTAAAACCTATATTTGTATTGGCTGGGGCACTTATGATAAATAATAATGTAGATGTGTATCTATTGTAGTATAAATGATTATAGATAAATACGAACGGTGGGTTTTGATCGTGTTACCTCATTCACAACAGCATCACTGGGATAATTCCATGTGTGTGTATATAAATTTCCGTGAAAGTTAAGTTTGGATGTGGATGGACGTTAGAGTGACGCTTTCACCCAATCGCACAAGGTCTCCGTATAGATTGATCAGTCTTAACAACTTAAGAATGGAGGAACACACGCACCTTTTCCCATAGATGTTGTTAACGAAAGTTGCATGGAAAACACATGACTTTCCATTCCATTGTTAGAAATTAGGTTTGCTTGAGGAGCCATGGCTAGGTCTTGGAATTCCAGTTCAATTCCCTTATTTGTGTAGTATTCCCGACTCGATAGCTGCGGCCATGTCATCAGGTCTCCATAAGACAAATACTCTGCCATAGATGAAAACGTCTCATTACCACGCTGGTTATAATTGTTCACCATTCTTGACGCAAAATCCAGTGCTTCTTTTTCTATAATTTGCATGGAGTCGTTATATGCTATTTGAAGTTTACCGGTGTCCACAAGATTCTGTCCAGTCCAAGTTGTGAATCCAAATGGCGATACAAATACGGGTTCACCTTCCAGTTCCTCGCCAGTTGTTTCTAATTCCATTTCTTTGGCTAGTTGGATTATATATCTGACAAAACAGTTTTAAAAAATCACTGCTGAGTTTAATATGGGAAAATAATCTTGACTTTCTGAATGACATACATGTGTCTCACTTGGTATACTTACTTACTGCACAACTTACTGACTGTACTACTTCACTCAACTACCCAGTATTTAGCAGCATACTATCAAACAATTACATTTACCTTTGATATCCAGTCCAAGCATAGGCGCCAATATTAAATACAGTTCCATCTATAGTGACATCATATACACGACCACCTGATAATGAGAGACAAAACTTTCTATTTTATGTTGTAGAATGGAGTGCGTGACCTTAGTTGTGTTGGACAAACTAAGCAAATAGTATTCGTTAAAAATAATAGACTTGGCATGGAGTGCTGTGTGATGTTTCTAATACATATAAATACCAACTAACGCCACAGTGTAATTGTCACACAAGACTATCATCATAACCTTGATTTATTATTATCTGATATAGTTAGTTAATGACATATAGATCCAGAACGTTGCCCGTCCTTGATTGAACTTAGAGTCACTGAAACATTACCATATACACAGATGATCAAACCGTTTGTACATTTTTTGCACAGCTGTTTCCGCGATTTGTTCGTTTATAATGTCCAAGTCAACAATTCTAATTGTGTCGGTCATGGTGTCAAGTTCAGCGTCGTCATCCTCATCTGTTTCGCACATTGCGACTTTCAATGCCGATGTACTGACACTTTCTTCAGGTTGCAAAGATTGTGGGTTTTCCATTGTATCGTCTTCAATCTCCGAAACATCGCTACTTTCTTGATCGGCCGATTGATTAAATTATCCACGGTTACTAAACGATTTTTAGTAACTGTGAATTGTCGCATACTTTCTCGGCGAAATCTCTTTACATACTGTCGACGTTCTTCTCCAAACTTCTTTGGATTTGTTTTCTTTCGTCCCCGTTTGATGTTGAAGAGCGAAATTAAATTCGTAGACGATGATCGTAAATAGAATGCGTGTATCATTGAAGCGTAACTTGTACTGAATGCAAGAGACTGTTTATATTTGCTATGGGTGGTGACTACTATGCAAATTAGCTGTCTGTTATGTCTTTGGTTGTTTAATTAAAACATGGGATTCAAAACAAAGCCATGTGCTTTTGTTTTAATTAATAAAAATGGATTTAACACCCTATAAAAACACCCAATTCAATTTTTGTTCCTACTGAGTGTTTGCTTCTTATAGTTCAGCATTGAAAAATGCATAAAGTCGAATTTTGGGTTTCAAAGCAAAAAAACCTAAACAGCATCCTTAATTGTATTAGTGTGAGTTGTATGTGTGGAAGATTGGCATTCAAAAGGTGTTTGGATGATATGACGAGCTTGTTATTAAAATAATCTCAGATGGATTTAATGTATGTTGTCTGGTGTAAACCTCAGGTATCATACTGTTGCACATACCTTTAATTTAAATATGGCTGCCTGTCTAACTTGTTGTTTATCGGCATTAGATTGTTTATTCCGAGGCTGTTTTGTGAACTAACTACAACATGTGACGGGCGATAACTCAGCAGAATCATGCGAGGTTATATGTGGGACCATAATTGTATAATTCTACAATTAGTTCATAAACTATAATTTCAAAATTATGACAAGCATATTTTGTCTTCAAATTGTATTTCGTTGTTTACTGTTTTTTCAACCAGACTTCATCATTTGACAGGCGCTATCTTTACGGAAAGACATAAGGTAGATTTGGGAATGTACTTTTGTAAATCGGTTCGTTGAGAAAAACATTTGCATAACAATTGCAAACACTATTTCTGAAATCATCTGGTTTGTCTCTAACACCCCATAAGTGTTTACCCTTTTCAGCAATTTTCACCATAGTTATCTATGAGCCAGGGTCAACAAGTGTATGACAACCAGCACCATTCTTACGTCCACATTGGCACATTGTTGCATTACATCCACTCCAGCTTGGTACAGGAAAACAAGCTTTAACAACACCTGAAAAATGTTCCTCCTACGCAGGTACTAGTCTGGCAATGTAGGTTTGCGTTGAAAAGGGTTGGTTTGCTGGAACAGAGAACTTGAGCAAATTGGTGCAGCATTTTCAGGCTACAAGACTTTGTTGCCACAGTGACAATATGCTGTGTTCTACAGGCAATTACTTTCGTCTCTGGACACTGTTGTTTTGCCATAGCCGATGGGTTTGGCATTAGCTGTGTGCCGTCGTGGTATTTAAAATCCGAGAGAGCGTGGTTCTAGGGTTGGTTTGCTATCCGAGATCTTGCCCGACGCTTTGCTCGACCCTGACATCTGGCGAGCGGATCCACATACCACGAACCCGGCGTTTAACATCAGGCCAACTGGAAAGGAAACATGGCGTTGTGGATTCGAAGGTAGAGTTCGTCGTTTCAATTCGTGAACTACAGTCGCTGGGTACCTAAAGGTCACCGGGGCGACGACACCGACTGATACAATTCAACGCACGTCGAGAAACATCATTCCAACATTCCAACACACGCTAGTTAGCCCTGGAATTTGAGTTTAATTATACTGGGGGGGGGGGGCAAGGGTTATTTTCGTTCAACGTAACTGCAATATTTTTTTGTTCGTACAACGTAAATTGAAAAAATAAATTCCGTAATTCTGTAATCACAGGATAAGACGTACAACGTAATCAATCAAATATTTTTTTCGTACACTGTAAAAATGTGTCATTTTTCTCGGTACGTACAAGAATTTACATCCAAATAAAAAAATCGTAAAGAATAATCCAAGGAAATTACATTTCAAAAACTGGAAAACGACTAATGACACATTCACTGCAAAATTGATGTCAGACGTAAAAGGCCCTCTAACCGATGAAGAGCATTACGAGGGTAATATGCGCATGCCTCTCTACATGCGGCGCAGCAATGGCGGAGA